AGGTTTGGCTCCTGACTTCTCTTTGAACGCCAGTCAAGTTCCATCAGTAGCACGTGATTTCATTTAATGAAGAATTGATTTAGATACGTAACTTTATTGGATGGTAACTGCAAATACTGGTCTTCCTCAAGGAGAGATTAAGAAATACTTAAGCTAAATTGGCTGGCATGGTGACAAAGTTACAGGTGAAAACTTATTAATTTAGCAAGGCAAACTATTTATTTAAGATGAAAAAGGCAGACAGACAGACAGACAGATGCTCTGTTCTACATTTTTGTTGTATAATACTGAACTTCAACAATCAGACATTCAGCAAAAAATAAAAAAAGTACTTTACCTTACAACAACAACATCTAGTCCACTACCATGGTCTACGGCAAAAGCTTGGGAAAATTGAAATGTTGACCGCTGTAGTACACTGCTGTCACAAGAACACAGTCCCAGTTAAAACACACAACTCAATGAATGCTAAATACCATATGGTGAAATATAAAAATGTTCATTTCTGGTCTGATCTATACAGATATATTACAGTATGCAAGGCTTATAAGGATCTTAGAAGAACTCATAAACAGAAAGAACAAATATGAATAAAAGACATTATTGTGGAGGTATGTACACAGACAGCATGACTTGCCTGCTCTGACTGATAAAGATCTGAATGACACAGCGTCAAGCTTCAGGCAGCTTGTGACAAAACAGACTACAAGAATAATACGAATAAGAATATCCAACATTGACCATCTAGGTCCTCTGACAGTCCAGCGAGCCTCTGCCTGAAAATATCCTCCCTACAGTTTTATGTAGGGGGCTACCTATAAATATGCGCTATGGTGGGCAAGGTTGAAGTCAGCTTCTTATTCGGCAGCTTCTTGCTCAAATTTTCACGTTCCACCTTAAATGGTGCAGCAGTTACATCCTGGCACCTCAGGCTAGGCCATTTAAGGGAAATTTGAATAAGAAGCTGCCTTCACACCGATCACAGTGTTGTTGCTAACACTGGTGCTTGTGAGCTCTCTTAGTCGGTCAAGAAACGTTTTGTACAGAATTATCCTCGCCCTGGTTAGCAAGCGTTGAAATGTCATTCAGCGGTTGCTGCCGTTAGCTCCATATTGTAATAAACAAGCATCTAGCTCTGCTCCAGTACCGCCAAAGTTTAGATATGTCACTTCCTCTTAAAAACATGCCCTGCACTAAAAAAAAAGTCCCTCGTGATGTCCTGCCCACAGCGTTTGACTGACAGGAATGCACCGCTGACGCAATTGCAATTGAAAAGGCACCAAATTGAGGAAATGCAATTGTAAATGCACCACGTTGAGGAAACGCAATTGCAAATGCACCACGTTGAGGAAACACAACTGCAAACGTACAACATTGAGGAAACATTTGCAAATGCATGAAATTGAGAAAACGCAATTGCAAACGGGTGATCGTTTTTCCTTTTTCATATGCCAGAATCAGACTATTAAGACAAGAAAAATGAAACGTTAAAAGCACTTTGCTTTTCTACATTAACTTTAACAGCCATTATGCAAATAAGCAAATGCAATTACATATTTTGCATTTCAATCTGAATTATGCCTTTAATGATGCACATTCACATTAGTAAAGCAATTCCCAATACACAATCGAATCACATTTTCAAATTTGCATTTAAATTTCCTGCATTTGAATTTGAAAAGAGTCTGGAATATGCTGCCATAAAAACACCTCTGTAAAAAATAAATATTAATGTCAAACCATACGATTCACCGGTTTGTTAAAAAAACATGTGCCCATGAAAACAATATATCACTTCAGTTTATTGTATTAAACTGTAATGGTGAGTATTTATCAGCAAGCATGGCATTAACCTTGTCAAGTCATCATTAGCTATAAATTACCTGAACTCTTACATTCGCACTACTCAAACGTAAATAAAATATGTATTCAAACGAGTCAAATCTCTGCCTGGTATCTTTACCCAAAGACATTCATATGTAATAAAAAATAGTGGGCTACATATTATAAAAGGGGGCTAATATTAAGCTAACTTTGTCAAAGAACCAATTACGTGTTCAATACTGAAGTACTTGTTTTCAGGTTTTCTGCACTGTTTTGCTGGTAGGTTCCGCCCCTGTCTTGCAGTCTGCAGACAGACCCTTCTCTCCTGAGCAGCTGTAAACACCGCTGTGGCTGTTTTTCCAACAGTGCCAGTTCTGCCATTTCAGTTTAAGCCAGAGTCCAATCCTGAAAGTCAGGTCAGCATCTTCTCCACATGGCTATAAAACTGGACAAACTCTTCCCGGCCTCCAGTAGTTGGTGTGCATTGTGTGAGGGTGTGCCAAGCTCATCGGTAGGCAGGCAGTAAAGAATGTGTTACTAGATTGAGTCATCTTGTAACAAAGGAAAAGGGCTGGAATTCCAATAAGGCATTTCAGACAGCTGAGAAAGCCGGTTTCTGTGGGAGAGAGTTTCTCCCTCTGGCTTTGAACTTTGTGACTTATAAGCTATATAGCACACTAAAGGAAAGGGACAACCTAGAAAACCATATGAAAAAAATTATGACTGCTTTTAAACCACAAAAATGTCATAAGTGGGGAAAAAATTAAACAAGAAAAATACAGCATATGGGCCCTTTAACTTTAAGGCAAATAACTGTGACAAGATTTCACATAAAGTAATTTGGTCCATTTTTATTGGTTCATTCATCATGAACTGTTCAAATGGTGTTTTAAATAAGTATATAAAAATTGATTGGTGTAAAATGTGGCTTGTGCAAAAGTTAGGGCACATTTTAAAGTTTGTTTTATTTTTTTCCAATATGTTACACTCAGCAAATAAAAGGGAATTGTGCACTACAATCTGCAGAAAAAATGCCACATGTGCTCTCTGTAGAGAATGTTAACTTATTATCACAGCTCATTTGCCATCAACAGGTCAACCACAAAAAACGTTTCAGCTGCACATATAAACAACAACCTACAGGAATGAGCACAACGTTCTTCTACATGATCACTGGTTCTGTTAGTGTCTCCAAAACGTGTGGATAAAAACGGATTCCATGATCAGATCAGTAGCACTGACGAACTTCCTGCCTTGCTTTACATCCTCTTTTACATAAACACGATCATGAAAGAGAGAGTAAAGAGGAAGATGAGAAGGAAAATTACTTTTGAAGCTCGGAAGGAACATGAGCACCACAAAGGGCACTGGGTGAGTCTACAGATCAGATTCATAGCAAACTAGATATGCAGCAAGATGTACAGTGGTTTTATATGTACACTGAATGTCCAAAAGTAATGAGCCCCCCCATGTGACCTCCGGTTCCTATCACCACTGCTGTAAAGACATCAAAGTCGGTTAGTTTCTCTACGATGAATCATTTCACATCAAACCACTCAATAGTGCAGAACTGTTGAAAATTTGGTGGACTTCCCTTTTAAGTCCAATTGCCATCCCTGTGTTCATGTGCTAATGGAAAAGCCCATGGCATTTTTATTTATTCATTATTAATCCATGATATGCATAGCAAAATATCAGCTTTCTGGTTGGACAAACAAGCAGAGTCAGCTTTATGATCTATATAGATGTTTAAAAGAAAATAGCTGCTACACATTTAAAGGACAATGCCACCAACATTTTAAAAATTCTGCACATTCAGTGGCTGAGGCATAAACAAAGTCATGAGTGGTTTGATGTGAAATGGCTCGTTGTAGAGAAACTTGCTGACCCAGATTTCTTTACACTGGTGGTGATGGGAACCAGCTGTCACAAATACAGCAATTTAATACTATCGAATACCTCCAGTGAACCTACAAGTGTCTGAGATTTATATGTAATGGTGATTCTGACTTTATACGTTTCTCATGAACAGAGCATTTCACATCCAACCACTCTGAACGACTTTATTTATATCTTAACCATTTAATCATGGATCAGTGTAGTTTCCCCTTTTATTGGTGGTGTTTGTGAGTGAGAGTGAACAAGTGAGGGACCAAAAGCTGGACAGCTGGACACACCTTTTTTCTTTTCTTTTCTTTTTTTTTGGAACTACACACGCAAAAGACGGTTCTTCAAGGGTTTTTTGGTAACTACTTAGAACCATGAGTTGTGTATAGAACTATTTCATGCTTCAACAGTTCTGTGCATGGTGAAATGGTTCTTCAGATTGATGGAGAATGTTGTTAATGGTTCTAAAAAGCACCAAAAAGGGTTCTTCCACTGCTACAAGCTCGACATCATCACAATCGCAGAATCCTTTTGGTGCTTTTGAGAACCATTTTCAAAAAGGATCTATACTGAACCATGTACAACACATCAATCTGAAGAACAACTATGTTTTGAATGTATGCATGTATAGAATTCATGGTTCTAAATAGTACTATTGTCTTTACAAAAGAACTTTTGTAGAACCATCAGTTTTAAATGCACAGATGAAGTAGAAAAGTACAGAACCCTGCTGGTGACATCCTTTATAAATAAAAACAACACGTGGCCATATTAACGTTTGGGAACGAGATCCTAATGCGTGGCCACGACTTAGTAAGGCATGGGAACAAGATAAGTTGCGGCCATGACTTAGTAAGGCTACGTGCTAAGTTGCGGCAACACATTAGGATCTCGTTTCCACGCCTTACTAAGTTGTGGCCACGTGTTATTTTTATTTATACAGGATGTCACCAACGGGGCTCCGTAGAAGAGTTTTGACAGCTGCATCCATCCAATCGACCCCATTCCCTTCATTCTTCAAGGAACTGATCTTAAAATGTGATCATTTTAAAATGCAGTTTTCTGAGCAACGTAAAAGAGTTTTAGGAGAAAATCACTCAAAAAATGATTTCGTAATCAGACTGTCACTCTGTCGACTAGGAACTAGAAATAGTCACTGCTTATTATATATCATATCTCAACATCACGCTCAGTGTAAAGGGGGATTCTTTGCACCCAAGACAACTAACCTAGACAACAAACAGCCCCGCAGAGAAACTCACAGCATGAAATATGAAGAATAAGCTTACCTTGACTTTCTGGAGAGCAGTGAGTCGCACCTCGTGCATAAAAGGGTTCCTGAACTTCGCTGAGAGCTGTGAATCCTCTCCATTTGCCGTCGTTACACGTTTTCCGTTTGCGAACTTCATACTCACAGACTCAGCATGGACTCTGCGAGCTGTGAACTCTCTCTGTCTGGGTGTTTTCCTCCGAGCGTGTTCGACAGAGATACTGAAGCTGCTGCCCGCCTGGAGCGCGGCTCACTCAACTCTCCGCCCCACCCATTCGGTGAGCGGCGCGCAGGCGTGATGAGCTCCTCCGCTAGCATCACTTGGGAGGTGTGGGTTGATTTAGCTGCTGACTCGTCTTTCGTTAAAACTGGTGTTGGTTATTTTTCTTTTTTTGGTCATGTTTTACATGTGTGCACTCCGTGTAAGGAAGAAAGTACGGCAAGCTGTTTCAGCCTAAAATGTATGGCAAGCAATTTGAAGGGGAACTCCACCGATTTTTCGAAATTTCTGCATAATGAATTGGTTAACATGTCAACAAAGTCAGTTTAAGGCCACTAAAAGTTTCCTCACAGAAACTCGTTGCATGAAATTGTTATGAATACAGTGCCTGTCTGAGATATTGCTTTACAGTAGTGCTGTGATAAAGTTTTGGTCTAAAACGTGTTAGAATCGTTTTATGTTAATCCATTCACGGTGGAGGGATACATGAAGGGTGTTCTAAGGTAAAATAGTATTTTTTCATATTTTATAATATTTTTTTTATTAAAACAATCTAAAACTATAATTTAAAAGGAAAATGAATTTAATATGTTACATAAAAATATGTTTGTTCTCTCACTGGATGAGGTGATGAGGTTAGGGTTCTGGAGGGCCAAATCAAATGTCTTCACAAGCCAACCTTGGCCTGCGTGCCACACTTTGGACAACTAAGCTGCAAAACCTGCTTACTTTGAATAAACTGTTTTTATGACACCACAAAACACATTTACATAGATCTATGTAAATCTGCGTGTGTGAAAGTTATAAGAAGTAAAGCCCAGACTGCTTTTTGAATGAGGCACAATACAGACCAGCCAATCAGAGCATAGGTTATTTAAATATCGATCAGCCTGCGTAGCTCAGTGGGATAAAATGGGTTGTAATATGGTCATGCCCACGTTTTTGGTACATAAAACCACTCAAAAGTCATAGGTAAACATCAGGGAAAAAACAGAACACAAGAAAAATGCAGGATGCTTGTTCTGAACTTTGCTGGTTTTAAGGAACGCATTACGGAAATCAGAAACATGCACCCAAAATACACAAAGCCTGAAGTGACACACATCTTTATTATTACAGAAAAGCAGTGATATACAACAGGGAAAGCGAATGCCTCAGAACAAATTCATCCCTGCCGTTGTTTATGTCTTGGATGGGTTTTGCAATAAACAAAGAGTCGTCCACGGCGGCGAACAAAAAAGCAGTCTTTGCAGCGTTTCTTCAGTGCTGTTTTCGTTTTCATGCCCGCAGAAGGCTGCACACACATGAGCTGCTGGCACTGTCCGAGTAAAGGTGAGCGGAATGGACTGTGCAGCCCCTGAAGAAGGCTGAAGGTTGCTCTGGATGGAGCCAATGCAGCGGTGATGGTGGAAATGCAGCGCTGTGCACCTGCTGCAGGTAAGGAGCTGACAGCGGTGTACTTCACAACACGGGACAGCTGCCGGGTCAGGGAACTGACCAGACACGGGAGGAATAGCGGTGCCATGGTGCCACCAACTGTAGAAAAAAGAAAACACCATTAAACTGCAAGCATGAGAAATTACCATTAATGTCTATGCTGGCTCAAAGGTGTAAACACAGCTGTAGGGTAATTATAAAAGACTCAAAAGTATTAAGAAGGTTTAACGTTTAAGTTCATTTGTAATGCACTAATTATGGGAAGAACTGCTTACAGAGAAGCAGCAGACCTGAAAGAAACAGGCAGTATTCAAATGGCCTACACTACAGATATGTGCAATTTCTTCATAACTCGATTCTGTCTACAGAGGCTACACATACAGTACATTCATTTGCATCAGCATTTATCTGATGCATCACACTTTGTGATTATTTGCATGAGCATGTATCTGATGCATTGGGCTTTGTGATGACTAAATACAGACCAAAGTAAATGTTATTCCTGCAACCTTTCTGTTTCTGCAGGTTATTTAAAGAGAGATTCCACTGACCAAAATGTCAACTTTTCAAAAATTTCAGCATAATTAAAAGACCATAACAATTATGATGTAAACAAACTCATTCAAAGTGGTTTGATGAGAAATGCTCCATTCTAGAGAAACAGAATAGTTCACAGTGATGGTGATAGGAACCAGACGTCTGAAGTGTTTAATACAGGGCGCTGTACAGACAAATCACCCCTCAAAGAAAACTTATTTTTCACAGATTTGCCACTATTTTAATCAACATATAACAACTCAGAAGAGACATGTACATTTGTGGGTGGTTCCGGATATAAAATGTAAACTAAAATCAGTGTATTTGTGTTGTAGACACAGTGACCCCTGGTTCCTGTCACCACTACTGTAAAGAAATTTGAATTAGTAGGTTTCTCTGCAATGACCCATTTCACATCACACCACTTTATTTGACTGTATTTACATCTCAGCAGCTGAATTATGCAGAAATTTTGATCAGTCAGTGGAATTCTTTATGCAGTGGCCAAAGCTGCTGATGAACTAGGACATGAAAATGAGGAAAATGACAAACTTAAAGCGCCTTCTGCTGTCAGAGCAACTAGTACATTTATCTGATAAAAAATTGTGGATTGTTTGTGATGTTATTTTGAAGCTACTCCGTCTTAATCAAAACCCAAATGAGGATACATCACATCAGGGGAACAATCTGGAGGTTCCGATAAAGCTGCCTTCCTCTACCCAAGTCTCTGGCTGTATCTCCAAAGGCCTTCTGTCTATGCAGTGCATTAGCTATATGAGTCATTAAACTATGGCTTCTACACCCAAACAGTGCACCAAATATCCAGTAAGGATCTGTGCACACACGGCTAAGATCACACTGGAGATTTAGTCTCAACATGTAGATTCTTGTATGTCAGCTTCTAAAGTCAGCTTCTTATTCGCATTTCACCGTTCCACCTTAAATAGGGCAGCAGTTACAGTCTGGCGCTTCAGAATGTAACCAGCTGCTGCAACATTTAAGGTGGAACGGGAAACTGAACAAGACGCTGGCGAATAAGAAGTGAACTTGAGCCATTTCAGCCTCATTAGTTACCTAGCTAGCTAGGTTACGTTTTGTTTGTTTTTCCTGCTCTAACAGCCCTGATATGACCTAGCAGGACTGGACCTGGAGAACCCGGACACAGAGACTAGATTAGCAATGATTAAAAATATCTGACGATACAGGTCAGCTTCTCCACGATCCTAAACGGACCAGCCAGGCAGCTAACTAGCCTAGTTAACGCTAGCTACCTCAGCTAACACCAGGCTCTTCTGCTACTGGGCGAAAAAAGGCTTCACTTTAATGCTTCATTCCTGAATTAAAGAACACACATGTACATACCTGCTTCGATACAGTGTATATTATTGATATGCGCGCCTAACGGAGCTCTTATTAACCCCGTTCACTGCTTCATGCGCATGTTTCAACGCACCAGCATGACTCAGAGTCAACACTTCCTGTGACGTGAGTGACTTTGAGAAAAGTCATTGTTCACGTTTCATTCTGAGGTTATAGTGCCTATCCCCTACTCCCTACTCCCTATTCTCTACTCCCTACTCCCTACTATCTACTCCCTATACCCTATTCTCTACTCCCTACTCCCTATTCCCCTACTCCCTACTCCCTATCCCCTACTCCCTACTCCCTATCCCATACTCCCTACTCCCTATACCCTATTCCCTACTCCATATACCCTATTCTCTACTCCCTACTCCCCATATCCTACTCCCTATCCCCTACTCCCTACTCCCTATACCCTATTCCCTACTCCATGTACCCCATTCCCTACTCCCTATACCCTATTCTCTACTCCCTACTCTCTATACCCTACTCCCTACTCCCTATCCCATACTCCCTACTCCCTATTCCTTATTCCTTACTCCATATACCCTACTCCCTACTCCCTATCCCATACTCCCTACTCCCTATACCCTATTCTCTACTCCCTATACCCTACTCCCTATTCCCTACTCTCTACTCCCTAAAGTAACTCTCCACCCTCCACGGTGAAAACAGTGAACTACAGCCTTTCAGAAATGCCCTCTAAAAGCCTTTTATAAGCCAAAGGCCGTATGTCAGTACAGTCTGTACACATTGTCACTAGTTATGTATAAAGTTATTGCATACGAATAACATGAACACATTGTCACTGTCTAAAAAATAAATAAAAATTAAAAAAGTGTCTCCAGAATGTCAGCTCTACAGGAGAAGACAAAACATTCAATATTTTGACATCACTACACCTGTGTATGTGTATACTGCACATTTTCACACCCATGGGCCTAAATATGCACTGTCACCACTGAAGTGAACGTGTGGTTACAGTTAATTTAGCATTAACCTTTCCTATATCCTATCTTACCTTATATCCAAGCTTAAGTTCTAGTTATGACTAATTTTGGTTCTGTCTTCCCCACTAGAAAAAAACAGAATAGTTTTTTTTTTTTCTTTTCTTTTCTTTGTTTTTCTTTTCCCCAGAAGTGATTTCATCAGACATCACATGACTAAAATGCTACTTTGGATGAGGTGCATGTATGTTTTAAAACTTCCGAACAGTTTACCTTGTTATTAATTACAGTAAGTATCTGCTTGCTGAAGACACAAACAGCCGTTCCCCGTTCATTTGGGGCCCTTTGAAAAGAGGCTGCCGTTAGCGTGCTTCATTTCAAGTGCCCTAACTGCAAACAATTGAGACTTAGCCATAATATGCGCGCGCTGTTTTACTTCTAGCGCCACTTGCAGTGCTGGTGCACTTAAAGCATTGTGAGCAATTGTACGGAGCGGGTTTGCTGTTTTCTGCATTTGTGTATGTGGTTTTCATTCTCTTTAACGATATGGTTTGGATTTGTTACATTGAGTTATTAAAATTAGGCGACTGCAAAGAAACGACATCGATAAACAGACAGTGAGATGCCCCTCTTGTCCAGCAGGCGGCAGCAGAGAGAGATAAAGCTCAGAGGTGGCTGAGGGACGTCAGGGGAAAACATGGCAGCCTCCTTTCCTAAGATCTTGTCCTTCGGTAAAAATACGAGGACTTTACTTGGAGTTTTGAGACTTTCTGCGGTTCCTGCTCAGCAATACACTGTCCCAGTTTCTAACTACGGGGAGAAAGTTACCCACACCGGACAGGTACAGCCTGGCTTCGTATACAGGCTAAACTCATTTGCTAGTAGCAACGACTGTTAGCCGTGAGCTAACTTAGCAGCAGCAGCTCATTTGGTATTTAATCGGTTTTTAATACCAGCAGCAGTTACTGCACTATAGCTTAATACTGTGAAGAGATACAGGCTAAAAGAAGCAAAACATGCCACCCCTGTCTTTGTTATACGTTTTATTACCAGTTCAGCGAATATAAGTCTCCCCAGTCGTGTCCTAATTCGAGTTTGTTATGATCAGTTCTAACGTCACTTCAGGAGGTGATATTCAATAAATAGAGTTCCAGTTTGTATAATATGTATGTGTATTTAGTAATGCGTGTCTCATACAAGTGCACTGCTTGTTTCTACACTTATTGTCCATTTTATCAGCTCCATTTACCACCATAGCTGCACTTTGTAGCTCTACAATTACAGACTGTGGTTCATGTTTCTCTGTATACTTTGTTAGACCCCTTTCACCCCGTCCTTCAATGGTCAGGACCACCACAGAGCAGGTATTCTTTAGGTGGTGGATCATTCTTCAGCAACACTGACATGGTGGTGGCATGCTAGTGTGTGTTGCGCTGGTATGAGTGGATCAGACACAACAGTGCTACTGGAGTTTTTAAACACTGTGTCCACTCACTGTTCACTCTATTAGACAC